CAGGACGTGTTTGTTGTGCAAATATAAGGTAGTGACAGTACTTACGTCTATTGTGTTTCAAGTAAAGGTTCTTAATAATAGTTCAGTACAGTTTCCACATATTGAGATATAACTGAACTTCCAAGTAGTTCTTTCTTAATATTTTTCTCAACCTATTGAGATATAACTGAACTTCTAAGTATTTTTTCTTAAATACTTGGAAGTTCAGTTATTTCTGAATAGATGGAGAAAAAATATTTTCTTAATTTTTTCTCTTCACTCGACTAAAGTTGACTAACACTTTACCCTGCTCAAAACTCATTCACTATTCACTGCTCGTTCTACCAACTGGAGGCAAAACACAGTGACTCAATGCTTCACTGATTATCGTACTTATAATATACTCTCGTCTCTTGAAATTCCCCTAATTTACTAGGTTTTTCGTTACGTTTAATTTAGAACTACCACTAATTTACTTGGAGTAACGTCTTGCGCTCCCTAGCTAACATCCGAATTAAAACGTTGAAAATATAGCTCACGACAATGTCATAGGACATTTCATCCCTCGGTAATTTACTAATCATAATTTTCAATAGATGGCGGTATTGTTTAAGTCGTTATGTTTGAACCGAGATATAAAAAGGAGTGAGTTACGTTCAGTCATGATCTACTTTTAAAATGTTTATTTTAATAACTAATTTGGTGAAAATAGAATTATTAATCCAAAAACCTGAATTCCAGATAAGGTATAAATTCACTTTAGAACAATTCGGTCTTAAAACATGGAATTAAGACTTATATAAAACAAATAGAACCAGAATTTCCTATCGTAGATTGTGCCCCTTGTAAAATAGGCATAAAAGTAGTATTCTAAAGTTAACTAAAGGAAAGGTATAATGATGAAAGCTGAGATTCTATTAAAACACCAAGCTTTCGACAGACAAAATATAGAAGCAAGTAAAGTAAAGTCTTCTATGTAATCATTAACTGATCAAGTGATATGTCCACTTTCATCCCTATCTTATTTGTTTCTTTTTTTTTTCAATTTCAGTAGCCAGCCCTACATAGCTTTTTTATTTAGCTATAAGTTGTTGTTTTTTCCTTATTCTTGTACGAATCGTGACATCAAGTTGACCTGTACTGTGTACTATATCATTACAAGCTTGCTCCATACATCTGGGTATCACCTATTATGACGTTTTGTTTAAGTCTTTATTCTCTAGAAAACACAACATTTATTATCATGATTATTCTTTCGTCTTTGCCTTGCTGTTCGAATCTCTCGTCTAACACAAATATAGTATTGTACTTAAAAGTTTTAGAAATCGTTCACATGCGCTGCCTTCACGCCTTATTATCTGTGATAGTCTCCCTGCGCACTACCGTGCTAAGGCGGTTAAAATTCAACGTCATCATCTATATACTACTAAAACTCTGAGATTGTTTGTTTGTGTGCTTGTCTGTAATTAAATACAGCAAAAACGGCGCACAATAGCGCCATTTTTGTAATGAAATGAGAATAGAAACAGAATAAAACAAGTTTCGTTAAAATCGGGCCACGGGTTACCGAGTTAGCCCCGTTTTTCGGGCACTTTTATGAAAATTTCTAGATGAATTTAGGTACACTAGATGGCGCCACATATCGGTTTATCTATCTATCTATTCCTTTTCCACCTGGTAAATCACTTTAAAATATCTTCTATACAACAATATATACACACAACAAAAATTAAATGATGAGATGAAAATGTGTTATAACGGCGCGTAGAAAGAACAACAATAAAACAGACCTACAATATTATTGAATTTTTGCAAATAGTAACTATGGAGACGAGGTAATAAAATAAAAATCAAGTCGAGAACAACAACAAAATTTTAAAAAAGAGTTAAATATTTATCTACGAGTTTTAATAACTCGCAACTAGTGTAACGAATGCGCCATTCGATGTAAGTTTCTGCTACTTTAATGTAATCTTTTAATGATTTTTGCTACACCTAAAATAACAACCGGGTAGTGTGCATGTTAACAATAATATTGTACAATTTAAAATAGTAAATTCTTGATTAGGAATTTTTCTGAAAACTGTAATCTGTGTTTAAATAAATGATTATATTGCAATGTACATCATAATTGTTAAGACTGTTCTTATTGATGATTATTCCTGATGGTGGCAAAACCTTGTCGCAACGTTGTG